CTCTCGCATCTGAATTTTCATTCTCGATGCAATTCTCATCCCACTGCGCCGTCTTGCACAACATCCTAATGAGGTCGCTGCACACCTCATACTCTTTGCATTTCCACGCCTCCTGTTGCGCCATATCTTGGTGTACTTCCCTCGTGCGCCGCTTTATCAATGGTGACTGGTAGTCCCTTTTCAGCGAAGCCATAGCTGCAGCTAATCCAGCAGCCATACCACTTCACATAGCATCAGCACGTTCTACAGCGCTACAGGTTTCGCCTCAACCGTGCGAAACGATTTACAAAATACGGGGATTGGTCACATTCACTGGCAGCATTGGAAGCTAGCGAGTTAGCACCTCATTCATCAGAAACAGTTGCTGCCCTCAGCTCCAAGCGCCCACCTGCTGCAGCAAACATTCCTGATATTTTCACACACATCAAGTGTTTTTCTTTTTTAAATTCGTATTTCGAAAGCGCAGCTTCTTGTAACGCAGACTTTGACATCGTCGAAGCGCGCTATATGCCCTTCTCCAACTACAAATTATGGGTTGGAGTTCATTTCTATCCATCCACGTCTCTCATTTTTCCAACGACTCGTGCAACTCTCCCGCCCCCCGCCCCAAACACAAAGGCGCATCATTGTAGCGGCTTTAATTGGAGGATTGACAAGGTTAGCAGAATAATTGATAGCTAGTACAATGCTTATTGCTAGTATAATCACATGCTTATTGCTAGCTCGAGTTTATGTTGTAATAAGCTAGTTGTAATGAGAACGATGCCAATTGGTAAGGACAAGAAAGCAAGCTTTGAGAACATAGCATCACTCATGCCGCCGCTCCACAACTTACTGTCCCTGTCCTCCACGCCACCCTACAGTCCGCCCCACGCGGCACAGCTGCTGGGCCTTCTGAATGGTTCATTGAACACCTCAAAGACATTTTTCTCTCCCACCAGAAGCATCTCCCCTCTCTCCTCGATGTCTTCCACAACTGGTCGCAAGGTGATCTTCCACCTACAGTCAGACTTTTCTACGTCGCTTCAAACACGTCGCCCTCCATAAATCGCATGGTTATATACGTCCTATCGCCATTGGTGAAGTGCTACTATGCTTTATTTCACACTGCATAACCTTCCGTTCCAAGCAGCAGGTGCGAGAAACGTTTCTCCCTCATCTTCAATTTGGCGTAGTAGTTCCAGCCGGGATCGAGGTCATGTAACACGCAGTTTGTTATGCCTTCTCCCTTCATCTAGACTGGGTGGTGCTTCAGCTGGATGTTGCAACCCCATTCAACTCCTTCAACGGAGTTTCCATGTTTGATGCATTAAGGCGCTCCCCATTCTCCAGCCTCATTCCCTTCTTCTGCCTATCCTACTCCAACCCTTTACCTCTCCACTATCGCATCTGCCCCCTTCTCCACGCGTACCAGTCAGCTTCCGGTGTTCGTCACGGCGACCCGTGTGGTCCTCTCCTCTACGCCTAACACAGCAGTTAGCCTTTCAACCAACAGGGTAGCAGTCTCCCTCCATTTTTCATTACCTGATACGCGGATGATGCCTATTTGGTCGGCCCTTCCTCACACGTCTTTGCTGCATAGACAGACCTTAAGGCCGCCTTCTCTTTCTCGGCCTCACTGTCCAACCTTCTAAGTGCCAGTATGGACTTGCTCGAACACTGCATTCCGCCCCCGGAGACCTCCATTGCTGCAAATGGTCTCACTGTCGCAGACGCTCCTGCCAACTCAGACGGTTACATCACCTCTACAATTTGTGAGAAATTTGGTTCTTTCACTTCCTCCATCTCCTTAGTACATTCGCCGGAGGACCCATAGATTGCCTTGCGGATTCTTTTCTTATGCATCATTGCTTAGCCTTCTTTCCTCCTCCGAACTGTCGCACCCTTTTTCTCGAAATCTGAGAGCTTCTCTCCGCATGGGGCAACACCATTTTTAACCACTTCTCTTAGCTCCTGGGCTTTAAGTACTAGAATCTCAATTCTGAACAGTCCACATCGGCCCGACTCCAAGTCTCGCTCCCTATCCGCTTGGGTGGCTTCGGCATTCGCAGCTCATCATCCATCGCCCCCCTCAGGTACCTCTGCAGCTGGGCCCAGACAGTTTCGACCTTATCTACCCACTTCATCACTGACGGTGCTCCTCTTTTCCGCCCCTACATTGCCACAGACTCCATTAACCACTTGAACCCTTCAAACTCATCCACAATGATTGCTTTCCCAGAACATTCGTGATTGCTTCCCATCGTAGTTTGTGCTTCAATTAGGCTGCCCTACTAAACTCTTTACTCACTCTCCCAATACCTCGAAGCCGATTTGCTGGAGAATGTTCGAGCAAAAGTAACGTCCCCGCTCCGCCTTGCTCACTTAACCTCTTTGCAGGGCACGCATGCAAATAACTAGCTCACTGTGGCTTTCAGAATCTGCGCGTCGTGGGGCCGAGGGGTAATGAGGGGTAGCGAGCGTCAAGGGAGCGAAGGTGGGTAACGAGGTCAGAGACAGTCTCAAAGGAGGCGAGGTCAGGGTAGATAAAGGGGACGAGGAGGCGACTGAGTGAAGCAGAGGAGGGAGTGGAGTAGCGATCAACAATAGCCTTATACAGATCTGCAGCAGACTCGACCTGAGTGAAGTGGACTGCCTCTGTCGGCGGGAGAAGGTCGGTCAGGGCGAGGCAGGCAGCGGCGTCACGAGACTCCCACACGTCGCGAGCGAGGAACTGGCGCCGGTACTCGGCCTCCTGCTCAGGGTTTAGGCGGTGGGGTAGTGGGCAGCAGGCTAGGCTGCGGAGGAGCGGTCTGAGTACCGGACGCGTGTGCGAACAGGTGCACGCCATCCTGCCGCTGGCTCTTAAGGTGGCGCTGCGCCTGCGTAAGCCACGTACTAAAGTCTATGGGTCTCCCCTCAGGGTCAAAACGAAGTACTCGGGAGGTCGCCATAAGGGGCGAAAGTGGGAGAGCGCGGCTGCCAGCCGCGGGAGGGTGAGACAGTCAGTGGCGTGTGGGCAGGTGCTCAGGCGTGCAGGCGGGCAGGTGGCGCGGTACGGCGCGCTGGCCGGCGAGCGGCGCGGCGGGTCTACAGGCGGGCGGCGCTGCACGCTGGGGGGCGCGCTGGCGTTGGCGCGGGCGGGCGTGCTGGCGTGCGCGCTGGCGGGGCGCGCTGGCGGGACGCGCAGGCGTGCGCGCTGGCGTGACGCGCTGGCGTGACGCCTGGCGTGCGCGCTGGCGGGGCGCGCTGGCGTGCGCGCTGGCGTGGCGCGCTGGCGTGCGCGCTGGCGGGGCGCGCTGGCGTGCGCGCTGGCGGGGCGCGCTGGCGTGCGCGCTGGCGTGAGGGCTGGTGGGGCGCGCTGGCGTGGGGCGCTGGCGGGGTGCGCTGGCGGGCCTGCTGGCTAGGGCGCTGGCGGGCCTGCTGGCTAGGGCGCTGGCGGGCCTGCTGGCTAGGGCGCTGGCGGGCCTGTTGGCTAGGGCGTTGGCAGGCCTGCCGGCTAGGGCGTGTAGGGCAAACGGAGGGGGGGGGGGCGCACCAAGGCTAGAGACGAAGTTTTAGGAAGGGCGGCGACTAGGTGTGGCCTAGGAACGGCGAACCTACTGCTGATACCATCTCACAAAGTGAAAACAGCGGAATGAGTTAGATTGATTGTGTTGGGGTACAAATGCCTAACCCTAACTGTTTGTACCCCATATAGCATGTCCCACTAGAGGCTATAACATTTGACACAGACGTCAAACTTTTTTCCCTCGTCATCGAAACGTCCGGTTGCTTCGGCTCTTTATTCAACAACTTCTTTCGCCAATGCAGCTAAAAAGGGGCGTCATAACTTCGCGAGTTGAGTGGTGCCACTGATTCCCTTCTCCAGCCATTTGAGACTAATTTCTACAAGCAGATTTCTTTGATCCACCAGGGCGAGGAAAATGTGACTTCTCCATCAGCAGCCGACTTCACTCACTTGGGAGAGGACCATTGAGACGTCAAATAAGCCTATTTTGTAGACCCCACTATACGACAAACATGCATGTCTTTCCTTACGCTAGTTTAAATCTGCCTTGTGTCCAGTTAGGGCGTGTAAAATTGTTACGACCAAACGCTATGGTCGTTCATTTGGGCGTTTCTGGCGATTGCGAGGAATTAGGGTTACGACGTTTAGAGTAGTCACCCCGATTTGACCAAATAGCAAGGGTATTCTGCATAGAAATTGGACGCACTGCATTTTGTGACCTACCTAGACATGTTTCCTCAGCGAGTGGAAAAACCTTTGTGCTCGCCTAAACTTAATGCTTTGTTAAACACCCGGGTCTAGGCCTCCAAGCCCCCTTTATTCCCACCCCGTTCGAATGCAGTAGTAAGAATCATTTTTTTGCTTTCAATTACGGGGATGGTTCGTGGCGGATGCCCCACGCGCTCACGAAAATTGTGACGGGGATCGCTTACGCGTTACATCGTTTCGCAATCGCCAGAAGCGTGCAAAGGGCGGAAAATTGGTTTGGTCGTTTACAATTTTACACGCCCTTATTGAAGGAGAACGAGGGGGTATGCAGACCGGTGAGGAAGCCAGAGGGGACAGGAGTACATGGGGACGACTAGAATGGCGAAGACACCAAAAGATTCCGTTGCCGGGACTTGAACCCGGGTCTTTCGGGTGAGAGCCGAATATCCTGACCGACTAGACTACAACGGATGCTTTAGCGCAGTTAAGTCATTTTTCAAAAACATTTTATTATTTTACAGCTAACAACACTTGCCTCCTGTGTCATTCTTCATTTACAAGCTACGATGTCCGCCCACTTGCTCTCCGTGGCCTCTTTCGCCTCACCACTCTCACTCGACCGACCGCCTTGCTGCCTCCGCCTTCTTTCGGGTGACTCAGGACAGCGCCTCAACCCGTCCTCACGGTTGGGACCCGGGCTAAGCGAAGCGCCCAGCGCGTCGAGGGCGGAATGGGCACGGGGAGAGTCCGCAGGCGGTGCTAGCGGGTTTCGCTCCGCGGCTGGCCGAGCGCAGTCGGGAAAATGGCTCAGCGTAGTACGGGGAGGGATCTCAGCGCGGGGCGAAAGCAGGAACAGTGCGGGACCAGGCGTTGAGCAGTGGAGGCAGAGTGCGGAGGGGCGCAGAGAGGCAGGCGGAAGCGGCGGAGGGTGGTCCGACAGGGGACGGAGAGGCGGGGGACGGTCGGTTGGCAGATGGGAGAGAGGGGGACGGCGAGGCGGTAGCGGAGGATGGGGGGGCGACGAAGGGGACAGCGGAGGCTTAAGGGACAGGGAGGGCGGAGGGCGACGAGAGGGATCCCGCGGTGAGGAAGGGGATTGGGGAAGGCAACGGGGCGGGGGAGCGGAGAGCGCGCGCGAGCGAGGGCTGGAAGAGAGGGATGGCAGGGACGCATGGCGTGCAGAAGGGGGGTGGGGCGGCGGGCGCACTGGCGCATCCTGGGACGCGCGGAGCCGAGGGGGAAGAGGCAGGGCGGGATCGTCCGCGTCGTGGGGCCGAGGGGGAAGAGGCGCAGGCGAGCGAGGCAGGGGACGGGGTGGGCAGGCGGGCGGAAGGGGCGCATGGGGGAGACGAAGTGAGGGGCGGTGGGGGAGCGAGGAGGGCGCGGAGGAGGAGGAGCTGCCGGCGGGGTCGTTCGTGCTGCCCGACCCCGAGGCGGACGGCGGGGCGGACGGCGTTCTCGTGGTGGGCGTCGAGGGCCGCCCCCCCGCGCTCTCCCCGCGCGACCTCGTGTGGGCGCGCGCGCGCCGCGTGCGGTCAGGCGTGGTGAGCGACGCGCGGTGGTGGACCGTGATGGATGGCGACCGACTCGTGGGGGAGGGCGAGGGGGACGCGGGGGACGACGGGGACGAGGGGGAGGGGGAGGAAGGGGGGGCTTTTGGGAGGGCAGGAGTGATGGAGGGAGATGAGGGGAGGGGACGGGAGGGGAGGGGGGCAGAGCGCGGGGACGAGTCGGACACAGCGGAGGAGGTGGAGGTGGAAATACCTGGGCAGGGGGGAGGGTGGGGGGGAGAGGATGAGGCGGAAGGGCGAGAGGGCATGAGGGCAGGGAGGAGGGGCGAGGAGGGGCCGGGCGGTAGGCGAGTGAGGGGCGTGCGGCTGTTCGGGCGGGACTTTGGGCGCAGCCAGGCGGGCAAGGGGAGGGACGGTGACGAAGATGCCAACCTGTCCGCGCGGAGTGGCGTGGCAACAGCACTTGCTGACGTGGCGGCATTGAGCGGTGGTGGTGACAGCAGGCAGAGGCGTGGTGGGCTGGGTGTGGGCGCCGGCAGTGCTGGCGGCACGCAGCAGCAGTGGGGTGAGGGCACACGGGGAGGGAGTGAGGCGGGGTGGCAGGGCGCGGAGGAGGTGCGTGGCGCTGGGAGGAGGAGGAGGAAGAGGAGGAGGAAGAGGAGGAGGAGGAGCGAGGGGAGTGGGCGAGTGGCGAGGAGTGGGCGCGGTACGGCATGGAGGCGCCGTTTGAAGGCATCATTGAGCTGGATGGCGATGGCGATGGCGATGATGATGATGGTGGTGCTGGTGGTGGTGCGTGGGGGGGGGGCGCACCGGGCAGGGCGGGCAGGAAGCGGCAGGAGGGAGCAGCAGGCGGGGTGGGCGGGGGTGCCAGCGTGCTGGATGCGCTGCGCCGACAGGTGGTGCCCCGGGGCGGGGAGGCGGACGAGGGGCGGGGTGGGGGCAAGGCAGACAAGGGGGAGAAGGGGAAGGAGGCGAGCAAGGAGAGTGGCGGGCGGGATGCAGCAACAGCAGCAGGCAGCAGGGCATCAGATGCGTCTGGCGCGGGCAGGGCAGGGGGGGGGGCGGTGGTGGCGCCCTCACAGCGCGACAACTACGACCCCGCGCTGGCGGACCAGTTCTTCAGCCGCTCCTCCTTCGCCCAACTCGGCGCCTCCCCTGCCGCCCTCTCTGCCCTCCACGCGCTTGGCATCACCCGCCCCTCACACATCCAGGTGTGGGCCGTCGAATGGTGTGGGGTGTCTGCAGTTGGAAGGGTTGTGTGTTGTGGAATGGGGTGTATGCAGTTGAAAGGGCCGTGTGCGGTGGAATGGGGTGTGTGCGGTGGAATGGGGTGTGTGCAGTTGATTGAGTATGCCGAGTGGACAAGCCCATTGCGACGTGGAGCATGCACTCATGACTCCGTGTGTGGAGCATGCACTCATGACTCCGTGTGTGGAGCATGCACTCATGACTCCGTGTGTGGAGCATGCACTCATGACTCCGTGTGTGGAGCATGCACTCATGACTCCGTGTGTGGAGCATGCACTCATGACTCCGTGTGTGGAGCATGCACTCATGACTCCGTGTGTGGAGCATGCACTCATGACTCCGTGTGTGGAGCATGCACTCATGACTCCGTGTGTGGAGCATGCACTCATGACTCCGTGTGTGGAGCATGCACTCATGACTCCGTGTGTGGAGCATGCACTCATGACTCCGTGTGTGGAGCATGCACTCATGACTCCGTGTGTGGAGCATGCACTCATGACTCCGTGTGTGGAGCATGCACTCATGACTCCGTGTGTGGAGCATGCACTCATGACTCCGTGTGTGGAGCATGCACTCATGACTCCGTGTGTGGAGCATGCACTCATGACTCCGTGTGTGGAGCATGCACTCATGACTCCGTGTGTGGAGCATGCACTCATGACTCCGTGTGTGGAGCATGCACTCATGACTCCGTGTGTGGAGCATGCACTCATGACTCCGTGTGTGGAGCATGCATTCATGACTCCGTGTGTGGAGCATGCACTCATGACTCCGTGTGTGGAGCATGCACTCATGACTCTGTGTGTGGAGCATGCACTCATGACTCCGTGTGTGGAGCATGCACTCATGACTCCGTGTGTGGAGCATGCACTCATGACTCCGTGTGTGGAGCATGCACTCATGACTCCGTGTGTGGAGCATGCACTCATGACTCCGTGTGTGGAGCATGCACTCATGACTCCGTGTGTGGAGCATGCACTCATGACTCCGTGTGTGGAGCATGCACTCATGACTCCGTGTGTGGAGCATGCACTCATGACTCCGTGGGTGGAGGCCAACCCTATGCGAGCACACTGCCTTGCCGTGCCTGTTGAAGGGTACGGACCGCATCGATGCCTCCTTCTCCTCCCACCTCCTCGCCCTTCCCCGACCACCCTCTTTCATCCGTTGCCTGCAACCTTCCCTCCCGATGCCTTTCCCTGCAAGCCCAACCGTCCCTTGTCCCCCCTCTCCCCATCCCCCCCGCCCCCCCTTTTCCTCCCTTCGTCCCTGCCCTGGCACGGATTGCATGCGGGCAGGCAGCGGCGTTCCCCTATGTGGTGCGCGGGGCGGACTGCATCGTGGCGGACCAGACGGGCTCCGGCAAGACGCTCGCCTACCTGCTGCCGCTGCTGCACCGCCTCAAGGCCCACGAGCTCGCCCGTGCTGCGGGCAGCGATGGGGGCAGCGGAGAGGGGCAGGGCAGGGAAGGGGCGGGCGGAGTGCGTGTGGGAGCAGCACCCAAGCGACCGGCGGCGATTGTGTTGGTGCCCACCACTGAGCTGGCGAACCAGGTGAGGATGGTGGGGGGAGGGAGTGTGTGCACGGGGCGCACTATGCCTTGCTATGCCAGGGCTTCGATCCATCTTGTGTCTTGTCGTCATGCTATTGACACCAGATATGATAAATAAACCGAATTTGCCTTCGGTTCGGTTGAACAGGTTCGACCTGTAGTCAAATTGAACAAGTTCGTGCAAACCACAGATTTTTGGGTGAGCAGTTTGCCGAACATTTGTGGTTGGGCCACGCGGCGTCGAACCTGAACGTCTCGACGAGGCAAACAGGTTGTCGAGGAACCTCGCGGGGTTCGTTGCGACCGGTAGAAATTTCGCGCGACCTGTAAGGATTCCACTAGACAAACAAAAGTTGGCAAGGGCTAGGGTTGTACGTCATTTGGCTTCGCAGATTCAGATATAGGTTAGATTATGCTAGCTCCTTACCTCCAATACTTGTACTCCCACTCACTTTAACACTCCAGAGTCCCATCCACTTGGACATGGAATCTAGTGAAGTTTAAGCAATCCTCTAGGAGTCGATTTGAACATATTCATCAGCATTCGGTCTAAGTTCAAAACTATGCGATTTTAGGGCTGCGAATTTTTATTTTGTGGCCACATGGCCACATCGGGCTGGGCTGGGCATTGGACCGTGAGAGAGGGCCCTTTGGGGCCTAACTTAAGTGGAGCGACAGGCACTCCCGCTACCCTGCACAACAGGTTTCTTGCGTGGATACATGCGTCATCATAATGCGTGTGCTTGTTATGTCACATGTCATATTCAATGAAGTTGGATGGGCACGCTGTTGCGGCGTTTACAACACTGTATCTAGTCATTTCAATCAAAAACCGAAATGTCCCTTTTGTATCATTTCGGTTTTTGATTGATATACGTAATGAACCACCCAATCAAAAACAGTATAAATATACATATATGTATGTATATCTAATGCATATCATGTACAACCGGAAATTCAAACCAAACTCTCATATCATGTACCATGTCAAAGTAAACCTTTTTGGGCAGTATTGGTCAGAATTAGTATTTTCCTTGTTGGAGATGTCTCGATTTGGCATGAGCGATATGCGCATTGGCCAGGACGTAGACATGGCAGGTACTCGCCCCCTCTTACCCTATTGAGAACCGCTGCACTCCCTATTGAGAACCGCTGCACCCCCTATTGAGAACCGCTGCACCCCCTCCTCTGCCATCCCCTTTCGCTCACCCCGTCCCCAGGTGGTGCGGGTGGCGCGGCAGCTGTCAGCGGGCGGCATGAAGGTGCGGTCGGTGGCGGTGACGGGCGGGCACCGGTGGCGCACGCAGGTGGAGGCACTGGCGGGCGGCGTGGACGTGGTGGTGGGCACGCCTGGCCGCGTGCTGCAACACCTCGACGCCGGCTCCATGCTGCTGGACGATGTCATGTGGTGAGAGCAGTGTGGCATGCTGCAAGCCAAGGGAGGAGAACCAGTAGCCATTAGCGCACCTCACTCCTCACCCTCTCACCTTCATTTTCCACAACCCGCCTTCACACACATGAGCAAAAATTTGATCTCCTGTTCGGTTCGATCTGAAAGTGTTCGACTCGAACGTGTTCGAGTGGCTTTTTTGCCCAAAATTGTTTGTGGTGAACACCTTGGTGTTCGTCATGAACACGCTCAACTGTTCGAGTGTTCGTGTGCAGAAAAATGCACGAACACCTAGGTGTTCGTGCATTTTTCTGCACGTCAAAGTTTGACGCGCTGGTTGGATCTAAAAAGGGAGGGCGACGATTGAGCTCAATCGTCGATATAGCCTAAGGATGGCATTCCACCCCCTACCCACTTAAACTCACACATTCCCATGGTTGAAATTCCACTTTGTGGCTCGAAACGTTAGGTATAAGGAACTAAGGGCATTACGATTTAGGTTGGAGTTAAGCAAGGCGAGATTGGATATCCACCAGATCTGCGCCAAGCCTAACTATATCTCTTGTAGGGCTATAGGGAACGTGACATTGCTTCTAGTACACTCGCCCTACTTGAATGTGACTATACTGAAAGAACCCCCCAAGGCAAACTGTTCGAGTTCGGGTCAAACACCTTAGTGTTCGGCCTTGCCTCAAAACTGTTCGACCCTATACTCGAACGGGGAACACTAAGATTTAAGAAAACTGTTCGAGTCAAACGTGTTCGGTTCGGTTCGAATTGACTATGTGTTCGCAAACTGTTCGAGACAAACGTGTTCGGTTCGCTCGTTGCTCATGTCTCACTGTCACAGTGTGCATGTGTGATTGCGTGAATGCGTGTGAATGTGTGCATGGCGGTGCAGTGTGGTGGTGGACGAGGCGGACATCATGTTTGACGACCATGACTTCAGTGCCGCCCTCAAGCCCATCCGCATGGGGTGCTCACGTGCATGCCAGGTGGTGCACGTCACGGCCACACTGCCAGCGGACGTGCACCAGCAGCTGCTGCAAGAGTACCCCACCGCCGTCTCCCTCATCGGCCCCTCGCTGCACCTCACCTCCTCCGGCCTCCAGGAGGTGCGTTTCATGCCATGCCTGCACGAGGTGTGTTTCATGCCATGCCTGCACGAAGTGCGTTTCATGTAGCATGCAGGAGGCATGGCTGGGCCCTCCTTGGGGCCACCAGACACAGCACTCTCCGCAACTTCATTCCTCCCCTCACCCACCCCCTCTTCCCCCCCCACCCCCCCCTCAGGTGCTGGTGGACTGCTCGCAGCCGCAGGGCGAGCAGCGGTCGGAGGAGGGCGGCTTTGCACGCAAGCGGGCGGCGCTGCTGCAGATCGTGGGGGCGGGCAGGGGCAGGCGCAGGGGGGACGCGGAGGGGGAGGGGGAGGAGGGGAGCGTGGGTGCAGTGGGAGGAGGGGAGGACAGCAGCGTTGGCTCAAAGAAGACGATTGTCTTCTGCAACAAGGTGTGCTGTGCTGTTGTGCTCTGTGCTGTGCTGTTATGCTCTGTGCTGTGCTGTTATGCTCTGTGCTGTGCTGTTATGCTCTGTGCTGTGCTTATGCTCTGTGCTGTGCTGTTATGCTCTGTGCTGTGCTGTTATGCTCTGTGCTGTGCTGTTATGCTCTGTGCTGTGCTGTTATGCTCTGTGCTGTGCTGTTATGCTCTGTGCTGTGCTGTTATGCTCTGTGCTGTGCTGTTATGCTCTGTGCTGTGCTGTTATGCTCTGTGCTGTGCTGTTATGCTCTGTGCTGTGCTGTTATGCTCTGTGCTGTGCTGTTATGCTCTGTGCTGTGCTGTTATGCTCTGTGCTGTGCTGTTATGCTCTGTGCTGTGCTGTTATGCTCTGTGCTGTGCTGTTAGGCTCTGTGCTGTGCTGTTATGCTCTGTGCTGTGCTGTTATGCTCTGTGCTGTGCTGTTATGCTCTGTGCTCTGGTGGTGCTTTGGCACCTGCGGCTAAGACCTGTCGTGCACTCTCTTCAGCCATTACTCAACCCCGTTTCTTGCCCTCACAGCATTTGTTCCTCATTCTCGCTGTCTGCCAATGTGTGTGCATGCATGCTGTGTGGGCATATGGTGTTAGTATGTGTGTCTCCGTGTGCGTGATGCACGTGTGAGTTTATGTCCGTTTGTGTGTGCTTGTATGTGCCGAGTGTGTGCATGCTTGTGACCATGTGTGTGGGTGTGCATGTACTGTATGTGTGTGCGTGCTCATGCATGGGTGTGCCCGTGCGTGTGAGTGCGTGCGTGGGGGCGGCCGGCATCAGATAGAGACGTGTCGGCGCGTGGAGAACGTGTTGGTGAGGGCGGACCGCCAGCAGCGCCGCTACAGGGTGCTCGTGTGCCACGCGGGCATTGCCCCCGACGCGCGCCGCCACGCCTTGGAGCAGCTGCTCGCGCCTAACCCACCATTGCCGCTCATCCTTGTCTGCACTGACCGGTACCTCCCCCTGCACCCACCTGCCTCTGTGTAGCTTTTTCTGCCTCTCTCTACCTCCCTCTATCTCCCTCTGCCCATCCCTATCTCTCTCTGCCTCTCTCTACCTCGTCTCTGGTGTTCACTGTCGGCCGTTTAAAGTGCCATTCCTGGTGCAGCCTGCGTACCCCTGCGCCCTCATCTTCTCCCTGTCCTCCGTGCGGTATCGCCCCCTCCCCCCCCCCCCCCCCCCCTTCCCCTCTTCCCCTTTCACCGTGCGTGGCAGGGCGTCGCGCGGCATAGACAGCATCGACGTGGACCGAGTGGTGCTCTTTGACTTCCCGCGCGATCCCAGTGAGTACGTGCGCCGCGTGGGCCGCACGGCCAGGGGAGCGGGCGGCACGGGCACAGTGTACGTGTTCGTGCAGGGCGGGCAGGTGGGGCTGGCTCGCCGCATCATGACCCGCAACGACCGCGGGCTGCCCGTGCATGAGGTTCCCGACAGCTTCTTCTGACCCCCCCGGGGCCTGTGATGCCTTCGACTAGTGTCTGAGTTAATTCAAGATTCTCATGCAGTTGCAAGCTTGGGAGAGCTTTGGTGAGCATGTCGGCACCCTGGAGATGGGAGCGTACTGAATGCACCTCGATCTCCTGCTGGCGCACCGTATCCCGTACAAAGTACCAAACCACCTTAATATGCCTGCTGCGCTGATGACGAACGGGACTGTGGGCAAGAGAGACAGCAGACTCATTATCACATAATAATGAAATAACCCCTTCATTGCCCAGATGCATCTCAGCCAACAAGTTCCTCAACCAGATGGTCTCGTTGGCCCCCTCCAATAAAGCCTTATACTCAGCTGCATTAGTGCGTCAAGCAACACTATCTTGCCTTTTGCTATACCTGCTGTTAGCTCCTCCCAACTTAAAGATGTAGGCAGAGCAACTCTTGAAATCGGTCTCACCACCCCAATTCGAGTCAAAATACCCCACTATCAGGGCCCAAAATAGGTTTAGGTCCACTCTTTCAAATCAGGGTTCCAGGCCCCCAGTACCCTGACTGTTAGGGTAAAACGTTGTTGGAAGCAAGTGATTTAAAGCGCCTCTGTCGTGTCGAAACAACTAAGCCATAAACGAAGCAGAACACAAACGAAACATCGGCGAGTCAATCCTCGGAGGCTGAGAAGGAAAGTAACTGCTGGATGTTGCGCGAAAGTCAAAGGTCAAGCGACCTTTGACCTGACAAGTACAGCGCGACAGCAAGGACACACAACCGACTCGTTATTGAGCGGTTGCCCGAGTCGTCACTGTATCGAACCGCAACAGCAACAGTAAAACAATTATTAATTGTATCTCTTCGTATCCCTTGTACTCTTATAAAAACCTTGTATCTCCTTGTTTTAATCAATCTACTTTGCCCTCACACACCAGCGCAAGGTGGTTCACTATCCTCATTAAACGCTTCCGCAATTACAACAAGTCCTACCCAGAGTTTAGTCTTGTAAAGATCCTAAGGGCTCTCAGCCCAACATGGTGTGAGAGCAGTCAGGACAAACTCAACTACTTTCAAGGCACCTACAACATCAGAAACCATGGCTACTCAGAAGGAGAGGAGCTCCTCTAACGGTTCCCCAGGCACCACCCCTACTCCACCTCCTGCCTCTGGCCTACAGACAGAGGAGGGTACGGCAACAAGACCAACAGCAGGGTCTACCGAAACTCCTGCAAACCAGGCTGCAGGCTTCGACCCAAGCATGATGGAGAAATTCTTCTCCTTCATGTTCTTCTACGAACAACGTCAAGCGGCACCTGCGCAGTCAAACAATAGCAACAACAACAACGATGTCACGCCCATGAGTCTCGACGTCTCATCCTACTCGCGCGGAAATCAACAGCAGCAGCCTACCTTTGCTCCATACGAGCCTCAGCGCGGCTCAATCAGCTTCATCCCGTATCAGCAGGCTTCACATGGACAAGAGAAGCCATTGGATGCACTTCAAGCTCAGTCCCAGTTCGCACACGTCTTAAAACTACAAATGTCAAGACCATTCGACGGGAAAGATTTCTTCACCTAGTCATTCGAATTTGAGCTGATGATGGAAGGCGCGCAGATATCTGGATTCTCCGATGGAAGCCTGGCATATCCAACAAACGGGATGCAATACGACAAGCAGCAGTACACATATCAGTCGATGATGGCATACACAATTCTGCTGAGGAACCTAACCCCAAACCAACAGCAGAACATTCGGTCTTACCGGGGATACGGCAACTCCGCCGAGCTCGCGTACAACCACCTGAAGAACCTGTATCAAGCAACAGACAGCGTCAATCAGAGTCGGTTAATGGCACAACTGACAACGGTTGAAATGAAACGAGGCGAAAAGGGGATGGCGTATATCAGCCGCTGTCGCGAATTGCGCGACAAACTCCTTCGATGCGGAGGGTCGATATCTGAAGACGCCTTTGTGACAGTCGTTATTGGCGGCCTCGGTCCTCAATGGCGCTCCACCCGAGCCATTCTCTGAGCCCACGGAAGGATATATGAAGCAGCACTCTGCGCCGAGATTCACGCTGAGCAGCAAGACATGGACCTGCAAGAGGAGCGACACAGGAAGAAAGCGTTAGTACCCGAGTTTGCATTCCACACCCAACGGCGCTACAACAACAACATCCGGCATCAACCAAAACCCGTACCTCCGTTCTGTCATATCTGCAAGACATCAGGGCACCCTTGCACACACTGCCCGAATCGACAGCAGTCAACACCGCCACAACGCCAACTCCGTCCCTCAAGCAGCCAAGTCACCTCAACGCAGGCGCACCCCACCACTCAAGTTCAAAACTCAACGACATCGACGACACAACCTGCACAAGGATCAAGAAACATCATCAGTTGCATGGCCAAGTTAACTGACTCCTGCATCACCGAGTCACCGCCACACTACTCACCGGAAGAACAACTCGACGAAAGTACTCCACGTCGCGAGACACTGCAACCGAACCCGACGTACGCTGCCATCGCACAAAGCGAACCGTTCGGGAAAGACACTTGGTTCTTGGACAGCTGCTGCGGACAACACATGTGTTTCTCAGGCCGTTTCGTCCAACGGGAACATCAGCTCGAAGGAGAAGCCGTCATCACCGTCGCCAACAACCAGAACCTGCGCACACGACGACAAGGCGTAGTTCAACTTCAGTCACGGGAAACAAACGTTATACTGCAAATGTCAGAAGTTTTGATCGCAGAGGGACTCGGCTACAACTTACTGAGTGTCAGTCAACTGATGGCGAAAGGCATCCACCTCGAAGCAGATAGCACCACTCAGGAGTTCAAGCTGTACCACGGGAGAGGAGGTCTTTACATCGGGAAAGCAGTGCTAAAAAACGTCGTCTTCGTCCTCGACTTCGTTCCAGACCAAGGCACCGCCGACAGCGACGGAATCGTGACCTTCACCTCCTGGACACACCCACCGAATCTTGACCCAGACTTCAGCCCCGGCGGCTTCTGGTATTCACACACGATACCTGAGGCAGAACGAACAAGTGCGTTAGCAACGATTCAACAATCGGCAGCAGCAGAGACAACATCGGCAGCAGCAGAGACAACATCGGCAGCAGCAGAGACAACATCGACAACAGCAGAGACAACGACAGCAGCAACAGCAACATCAACACCAATCGTTGGCCCTTCAACACCACCGGTCATTGTCGACGATTCACCACTGACACCCGCGCAGCAGTTAACTCCGACTCCACGGGAAGTACACCGAAGCGCCAACCTTACCGCCAGCTTCTACTCCAACTCCGATATGTACAGACGATCACCCGGACATCGCGCCACTGAAGACATCTGGCACGCAAGAATGGGACATCCGAGTAACACGGTGTTAAACAACACGATAAGAGCAGGTGTGCTCGACAAAGACTCACTGCTCATAACTGACGGAAGTGAACTCTGACGAGCCCGCGGAACATGCTTCACCTGCCCCGAAGCTGACTTACCACATCAGCCGTTCGTCTCTCACCACAACCCGAGCGCACCAGCGTACGCACCACTGGAGAAGGTGTACAGCGACATCCTATACAACCGTGAACCCGGACAGGGAACATACAGCTACGTCATCACGTTCATCGACACCGCCACACGTTACGTCTGACACTTCAACCTTCCTAGCCGCAACATGGCCTTCGAAGCCTTCGTCGCCTGGCTCCCAGCGGCAGAACGAGAGTCAGGAGTGAAACTGAAAAGTCTCCAAACAGACGGGGGAGGAGAATATCAGTCACAGCGATTCAAGCAGTACCTGGCAGAACGAGGCATCAAGAGGCTCATTTTCCTTCCCTACGCCCATTAACAACAAGGCGTGGCAGAAAGAATGAACAGGACCCTCCAGAACACCATGCGCAAACTGCTACGTGGCATGCGGCTACCCAACCACCAGTGGCCCGACGCAATGGACCATGCCGTGATGCTGCACAACCTGCTCTCGTCATCATCACTACCGAACAACGCATCACTGCACCTGCTATGGACAGGAAAAATGTGCAGCACAAAAATGTTGAGAGTTTTCGGCTGCATGGTACAGTACCGACCCCCAGCTGCACGAGCCGGCCGATTCTCCCAACGCGCACAGTGGGGACTACACCTGGGCATCGAAAAGAACTACAACGCATGGAAGATTTTCGACGTCCACTCAAAAGAAACAGTAGCAGCACGTGATGTCATTTTCTACGAGCGGCTCACACTTTCGACGTACCTTGCCAACCTGGATGAACATCGAGACCCCACAGGTGGCTTTCACGGTGACCGAGCCTTCGCTTTGGCAGCTGACGAGGAAGACTGGGATGAGCAGAACGTGGAAGGAGCCTCGGAAGCAGCCGGACCTCTACCTTACTGTTCGGTCGATATCCCCATGGACGACGAAAATCCTCGCGAAAGTATCAACGCCGAAGTCTATTACGACCTCGCCGACACTGGTTACGTTACACCTGCACAAGTCAACACCAACGAAGCAGAACGCCTAGGGCCCAACTTCGTACCTGATCCGGAAGAAGGTGACGAAGCAGCTTATCCCGAGGACATAAATCTCCCCCGACTCTCACAGAGTGGACTGCAGATCCTGGGACTTGTCACCGCAGTCCACGGCCCGGAGCCTCCTAAGGAGCCTGCCACAGTTCAGCAGGCTCTGGGGGGGGAGCATAAGGAAAAATGGCGTGAAGCCATGGACAGGGAGTTAAAGGCGCTAGAAGAGCGCAACACCTGGAAAGTCGTTCCCATCGGCGTGGCACGGAACAAGACAATTCTCACCGGAAAATGGGTTTTCCGTGTGAAAACAAAGGCAGACGGCACCATTGACAAATTCAAGGCACGATGGGTCGTGCGCGGCTTCGACCAAGAGCACGGACGCGACTTCACTGAGACATTCGCACCGGTCAGCCGACACACCTCGCTGCGAATTCTTCTCGCCATCGCCGCTATGAAGAAAAAGAAACTGCGCCAAATCGACGTCACAAA